GAGTATACAAAAAGAAGCAAAACCAGTCTTTGTATTAAAGGGGTTCAGAGCCTAATATAGAATATACCAAATCACACAGACAATATGATGCTGTGATGGTGTGGGAAACAAAGGAGGGCCACTTGATTAAGTCTGGAACTTAGAAAGGCTTTTTGGAGGGAGTGATCCTTGAGCAGAATCTTTCAAGAATGAAAAGTTGTCCAGAAGGACAAAGGTAAAAAGGGATGAAGTTGATGATCCAGATGGAGAAATATCACCCCTACTGGTTAGAAAGCTGCCAGAATTGGACCATGTTTAACCAATTGAGATTTTGGGGTGGAAATCTGACTTTACATCTTTTTAAAAATTTATTTAAATTCCAGTTAGTTAACATATAGCGTAGTCTTGGTTTCAAGAGTAGAACCCAGTGATTCATCTCTTACATATGACACCCAGTGCTCATCCCAGAAAGTCCCCTCCTTAATGCCCATCACCCATTTAGCCCATCCCCTCACACATCCCCCCTCCAGCAACCCTCAGTTTGTTCTCTGTATGTAAGAGTCTCCTTCTCTGTATGGTTTGCCTCCCTCTGTGTTTTTTATCTGACTTTACATCTTATTTCTCCTGCTATTCTCTGAAAATTTTAAAGTTCTTATCTTTTCTTTGTTCATCACAAGCACAGGAAGAGATTTGGGTTTCAGAGTCTGATCAACAGAATTGCATACAAAAAGAAGGCAAAGGAACTGAACAAGGTAAAATCTGCAAATTATCCATACTTAACATTCCTTTGGTAATATCATCCTTGTGTCCTGCCATCTGTTATCTTCTGCCCCTGCCCCTCACTATTCTACTGAGTAATTTGTGTAGTTGTACACAACCATTCAGAATGTGTTGACATTCATTAAGTAAAGATATAATATGTCTGAATCGATCTTGCATGAGGAAATGTTTCATCCTGGAAAGTAGGACGGGACACAGGTACCAGACATCCTGGGCTTGAGTCCTGACCAAAACTCACTTTCTTCATCTGAAAATGGGAGATGATAATAGTACATACTTTAGAGGTTTGTGAAATTAAATTAGATAATCCACAGAAATCTCTTAGCACAATGCCTGGCACAAGGGAAGAGTTCGATAAATTCTAGTTGTTTAATTCATGCATCTGCATCTGAAAACCACACTAACTTGTGTTGGGTCACTTGATGGACTCCTCATGTTCAACAATGAAAATCAGAACTAAATAGTCTTTAACTATAATGCATAAGTCATTGCTCAAGCAATTGTTAAAGCAATCCAATCAGATCTTAACTTGCCAATTTTTAGTTAGTGGGTGACCAGCAGTCAAGACTGAGATGTTTAGCCAGGAGATTCATGAGCTCAGACTAGGGCTAAGTCTGCCAATGGTTGCTTCTTTCCTTAAAGTCACTTGACTTTGCAAACCCTTTTCTATTTGAGCTTCTTAAGGGCAGGGATTTGTTTTCAGCTTTATATCCCCAATGCTTAGCATGGTGTGTGCCAATCATAAGTACTTTGTGAAGTCTTGCACTGGCCTGCCACAATTGATGTCACTTAGACTTTGTAGATAACCAACTGCATATGTCCATAGACTATCTGTCATTGTAGAGCTGCAGGGCAACTGTGCATCTATGCTGTCAAGTCACCATTACCGAATGTATGGTCAGCGTAGCAAGATGGCACTTAGATGCATACCAAGACATTGAACCCTGAACCCAGATATGAATCATGGAGATAAGGCTTGCAAAGGCAGTTTTTGCAATCACTAGGGAAAGTTGTTGAAATTTCAGGATCTGTGTTTGGGGTTTAAGAGGCTTGGTAAGGCTTACACAGGGCTCTTTAGGATCTGGCAGAAGCTCATGATGGTCAAGGAAAAATTCCATAGTCACTGATCTGAGCACATTCTGCATAATGAACAAGGGAGACTTAAAGCTACACTTACTGAGCTGTCCCCAGACCATATCTCCCAGTATTCTTCCCAGTTGCTAATTATGTTTCAGTTAATTTCTGCTAATTATGACTTCCATAGGATGCATATGTCAGACCATTCATTTGTATCAAAATTTAACCCAGTGCTCTACTAGAGAACTTCAGACACTCAATACATTTCTGTGGAATCAGTAAAAGCACACATGAATGAACATTTTCATCCCTATTAAATAGGGTCATTTTCTCTTTGTCTCCCCAAGAAAACAAAGCAGAAGCCACTTGCTGATGACTTTTGGGCAGGAGGGGCTGTTGGCTCTCAGATTTCAGGGCTGCTGTGTGGTGCCTCCGGTTTCATCAGGATGTCACGTTCTTGGTAACAGCATCTGCTGTGCTTCTAATGAACACCCAGTGACAAACATAGAGCCTCTGCCTTTCCCCAGGACCTGCCGAGGACAGAGGGGCCGCAGCTGGGAGAGACAGAACAAGCCCATATTTCATAACAATTACTCTGGGTTATCAGGAAAGGTGGCAAGAAAAACTATTAGCAAGTTGGTGGAAAGAAGATTTATGGCTTGGCAGCTCAAAGGTGTGACAGGTTTCTTCTCTGATGAAAAATCACTTCTTTGGAGGTGAGAAAAGGGCAGGCACCCTGCTCAGCAGATGGGAATCCATCAAGTTAGCTTCACTTTTGAGCAACTCTTCATGTCATCGAACAATGTGTCTTCAACTCCCTAAGGCAAATGATTTCTTATTTCTTCCAGGGAATATTGTAGGATTCACATAGTTTAATTACCAGAATGTTAAATGCCATGGTCAATTCTCAGTCTTCATTTGACCTATCAATAGCCTTCTCCATTGCTGTATTACTTCTTCCTTCTTGAACCATTTCCTTCACATTTAGCACTTCACTCTGTTTTGTTATAATTCGCCAAGCCACTTTCTGTTTCCCATATTAATTCCTTGTTTTTGCCCAACTTTTACACTCGGTTTCTCCAGTTCTCTCTTCCCTATCCATAGCCATTCCCTTACATGCTTACGTAACTTGCGGCTGTCAACACCATCTGAACCCTGTGGAATATTCTCCTGACTTTAGCATAGACCTCTTCCCTGAACCCCAGACTAATTTGTCAAATTGTCTACTCACTCTCTCCATGTAGATGTTGGATGCACATCTTCAGGTTAAACATGGCTTAAACCGAATGTCTGATCCAGCCTGGCTCCTAATGCCAATCCCCACTGCCTCTTAAGTCATCTCCATCTTAGATTTTCAGATTCTAAATCTTGCAGTCATCTTGATCTTCTTGTTTCTTTCATCTCACATCTAACCCATCATTTAAAATGTGATTGGCTCTACCTTCAAAATATACACAGTGCCTTGCCCTAATCCCCCCACCCTCACCTCCTGCACTGCTGCCCCTGGTGTGAGTCTTGCCAGGGCTGTGAACAAGCCTCCTAACTGGGTTCTCTGCTTCTTCCTTGGCTCCTACACAGCAAGAGGGAGGGCTTGGAACGGTGATTGTGATTCTTCATACAATGTCAGAGCGATCCTTTTAAAATGTAAGTTCCAATTCCCAAATCACCCAGAATAAAAGCTATAGTCCTGAGCTTGACCTCGAGGACATGCCAGCTCTGGTCCCTCTGACCTGACTGCCTGTCAATCTTCTGCTTCCTTACTTCACCCAGCCACAGTGACCTTTCTCTTCCTTAAAAACTCAAAGCAGGCTCCCACCTTGGGGCCTAGGCACTTGCCCTGACACGGTCTTATCTTCACATTTATATTCATGACTCATTCCCTCGCTTGCTTCAGATTCACCCTCTAATAAAAGACCAACGGAACTTTCCTTGGTCACCCTATATAAAATAGTCTCCTGTTTCCTACAGCAGAAAATCTCAACTGTTGCTTTTCTTCCTATCAAAAGAACTGAATATGAATTGGGGAAAGGAGGAGGGAAAGAAAAAGAGAAAAATACAAGAGGGGGAGGGGTACACATTAATATTTCAAAATATCATCCAATCACAACAGCAGCCAGGAAATGAGGAGGGAGAGGAGCCAATTTCATGATGAGTTTTGGGTACACTGAGAGCCATGGGCTGGCCGGGCTCCAAAGTGGAAACGTCCAATGGTTAGTTATTTCACGAGGTGCAATTCCTTGGATCCCTGTGGCATGAAGGAAAACTGGACAGGCAGCAAATGAAGACTGGACTTGAAAAGGCATGGAGGGAGGTATTGCGATCACAGTGCTGAGGAGGATGTGAACCTGGAAGGCAGCGCCTTAAGGCTGATTTTGCGTCATCAAAATCCTCTGGATGTTCATGGCACTTTAGAGTGTGCAATTTGCTTTCGTATACAGGACCTCATGTGACCTTTACCACCCTGTGAGTTTATCCAGGCAAGCACCACACATCCTTATCACAGAGGCGGAACTACCCTTCGTGCAAACCCACCAGGAGGGGAAAAGGCAGGTGACAGCTGTCAGTAGTGTCGAACTCAAACACTCCTATCCAAGCTCTCACAGACTTGCTCCTTCACCCGTTATTTTAGGATGGTTCTTAATGTGGGGTTCTTAACAATGGGCTTAGAGAATCCAGAACCCTCTCCAGATGTAGGAAATATAAGGTGTTTCTGTCCACATACACTGTATTTTTTCCCTTGACCCAGTCTCCATTGCTTTTATAAGATTCTCACATAGTCAGCAACCCCAGAATGATTAAGGTCACAGCACCAAGGCACTGTTTCTTAAGGTATTCTCCCTGAGTCATCAACATCAACAACAAAACCAGTTAATACTTGTTTAAAAAATGCAACAGTGCTTCCTGGACCTCACCCCAAGTTTTTCAACTGGACTTTCTGGGTATAGGCAGGAATCTGCATTATTAGCAGCTGTCCCAGGGACTTCTTAACTAGTAATTGCCAATCAGCCTCCATCTTTGTTATCTACAGGTGATATAATGTGAACCTCCAAGTGTGTCTTTAAATGTAGGCCCCTGAGGCTGTGAGTTATAGAACTCTGGCCACTGTGAGCACGGAGATCATCCAGCCACATAGCAGTTTTCCCACAATAAGGACGGGGTCAGTTCTAAGGTAGCCTCCAGAGCATGCAGGACCTAGCTGGTCTTCCCTGGTCTCCTACCCCTTGGGGGCAATGAGCACAGGGAGATCCAGGAATGCCTCCTGCAGCCCTGATCCCCTAGTGTCTTCATCATCTGCCAGGTTATTTCCTGAGCCCAAGCACCCATTCTTGTGCTGCCTGAGCCACCTGTTGAACTTGGAGGCAGCTGCTGGTTATCAGTTTCAGGTAGAAAAAGACCCTTACTGGGCTATTCTGAAAGCTGTCTTGCTTATGGATACACTGGAACAAGTGTCAGCAAACTGTAGCTATAAAGAGCCAGAGAGTAAATATTTTAGGCTTTGTGGGCCATCTGGTCTTTATCTGCCATTGTAGCTCAAAGGCAGTCATGGATAATATGTAAAAGAATGGGCGTGGCCATGTCCTAATGAAGATTGGCACAAAAATGAGAAAGGGGCTAGACTGGGCAAGCCAGCCCTACTTTGCCAACTCCTGCACTGGAGCCTAAATAAATGCCCAATCATCTTCACTTTTTTATAGCAGGGATACATACAGGGGAGCAGTGATGCGAATAATCCAAAGCAAACAAAAATGTCAAGAAAAGCAGCATAAACATCAACATTCCACTCACCCGATATATGGCTTTGGAAAGCATTACACTCTTCTTGTGGCTGCTGATTTAGTTTTCTAATTATGTTTTGCTCAGGATGATATTAATACGGGCTTACACTCTCTGAGTAGATCCCACCTGGGGCTCAGGAGGTGGCCGAGGGTGAATGCAGAGAACAAAGTGAGCAAAGCTGGCCTTGTATTAAAATTAGACACAGGTAATTGAGAAAAGACTGTCTATAATCTGCCAGTGGGAATGAGAGATGCCTCATGAGTGGCTGAGTGTTTATTAAATTTGAAAATGGCATCTCTTGCCTTCATTTACCTGGTTCCCAAAGGCCTGTGCTCAAGCAGGTGTAAGTCACGAGGGTGGGGCGGCCTCCACTGAGCTAGAGAGGACCATTGCACATTCTAGAGCAGGGAACACGTGGTGGTGGAGAGGATTAACATTTATTGATTGTCTATTATGTGTTAGGCACATTGTGCACTGGTTTACAGATAACAGCTAATATTTTTTGGGCACTTGTTCTTTACTAATTATTTTACATGAATTGTATCACTTAAACTTCCCAGGGCCCCACAAATTAAGTACTATTATTGTGCTCTTTTTACAGAGCACTTGGGTTAAGTAACTTTCTCAAAGTCACAGAATCATTTAAAACATGCATTTGGACTCAATAGGGCACATTTTTAAACATTATGTTAGATTGCTCCCAAACTGTCTATTTCATAGAAAACCTCTTCTTAGGGAGATACCATTAGCTGTACTTCGTAAGTGAGAACATAAGTGACTTTCCCACAGCTATACACAGAGTCAGGGGCAGCCCCAGATCCAGGTCTGTCTGACTCCAAGGTCCATATTCCCTTTACTACCACCTGCCACTTGGGGGCCCGGGTGGGGTCATTCACCCACCTAAATCTCCATGTTCTCTCCTGCCAAATTGAGATACTAGTGTCTGTCCCATCTCATTCATAGGACTGATAGTCATTTCAAATAATAATCCTATACTTTCAAAATGATGTACATTAAAAATAATAAAGCACTGAATAATTATAGCATATTGATTAGAGATATGAGCTTTGAAGTCTGATAAATCTGGATTCAGGTTCTGAATCTGCCACTTACCAGCTGGGTGTCCTTGACCAAGTTCCTGAGTCTCTCTTGTTTTAAGTGTTTTTATCTGAACAGTTGGTATAATAATAATGATAATAATAATAATAATAATAATAATAATAATAATACCACCTATCCCACAAGATTGTTGTGAGGATAAAATGAGACCCTATGGCAGGATGACACCTAAAGACCAAAATTGTGTCATCCCTTCTTAATTTCATATTAGTTAGAAAAATTGAAGAATACAGAGGTATTAGAGTAAGGGACCAAGGACTCTGGAAATACAACTACAACAGAGAAAGAGTGGCTAGAGGCAAAGTCACAACTTTGCCTCCTGATTGGATGGCTCCTTTCTTCTTGTTCTAGATGCATTTATAGCTGTGGTCACATGAATATGTTGGTAGACTCCATCATACTCTATTAAAATAACTTCCCTGGGCTCTACTGGGGGATCCACTTGCATTAATTTAGAAAAATGTACAGAAAGTCTAGGTATACAGCATTTGCAGCAAACTGTGGAATGAGTGCGGAAGCCCAGACTTAGTTTCCCAATACTGGGGGAAAAAAAAAGAGGCTATAGACCCAAGTGCCTTGCCTCCTAGTAACTAGCTGGAAGCCTACCCAGACACAAACAAAAGAGATCAGGGATTCCTGTTGACTTATGCAGTCTTTGTCAAAGGTAAAGTAATTGGTCTGAAGACAGAGACCCTGACCTGCAGAGTGTGTTCCAAAGTCTCCTTGCATTGTATTTATAGCACTCCACCCCTATAGAAACAAGATGGTGGTTTGCTTCCCAGGTCAGCTCTTATACGACTGAACTGAGAAACAGTGGCCCTAGAGAAGTAAGCACATCATTAGAACTAACATTACAGTTTTCAGCCTTTGTTTCTGTGGGGAAATGCATTTAATATTAGATAGCAAGACAGAGACATGCAGGTGCAGGGAAGAACTGAATCACCAACTGCAGCAATATCAGCCACTGAGTGCTATGCTTTAGGGAGGCAGGGAAATTACAGAATCAGAGAGCCTGAGATAATACTTAAGAAAACATTAAACAAATGTGAGGCACTTTTGTTATTGCTGCTGTAATGGTGATGATGATGGAGATTATTGGTGATAAGGGCTAAGACACTGACCTTCCACTGCAAACATGGAAGCCACTGCCACCCTGTGTGTTTTGAGAAGAGGTGAGGGAAACAGTAATGTGGATATGCTTCTCCTTCTTGAGGACTTGGGAAGAATTCCCCATACATAAATCCTTTGGTAGCACTGCTGTTGGGAGATGAGCATTTTCCTCAAATGCAGACCACAATTATATCATGGAATACTGACTATGTGCCAGGCATTGTAATTTATATTTATTGTTTTGAGCACTTAGAACTCTGAAAGGTAAATATGACCACTCCCATTTTACTGATTAGGAAATTTAGACCGCATTAGGGTTACTAACTGGCCCAAAGCCACATAAATGATAAGTGACTGAGTTGGTATTAGAGCCCATGACACTTGACTCCAATATGAGCCTTTTTCTATTGCATCATAACCCTCTTTCACTAGCCTTTCTCCATTATGTTTTCTTTCTCTATCGTCAGTTGGGAGAGCCATTTGTCCTGTGCTAAATTAGAGACTGCTGAGTTGTGCTGAAACCTAGCTCTCTTTGACCGATATTCAAGTGTCATCATATGGCCCCCATGCACTCTATTCTGTCAAAGAGCTTGAGGAAAGGATTGCAACATGAGTGTGTTTTATGATAGTCCCTGGTGAAATTAGTGGCCCTGGATAATGTTTCAGGATAATCCTTTAGGTCATTGTTCTATACCCACTTCCTTTACCAGCTGTCAAGGTAGTTCATATCAAATTCTTCTTAATGGGAGGATCCATTTCTACCTCCAATTTGCCCCAACCAATAGATACACATGCATATTTTCACACTGTTTTCAAATGATTCCTTATCAATTAGCCCTTTTGGTTCCCCTTATAATGAAGGAGAAATAAATCCACACATGGAAAGTGAAAAAGATGCAGTTGATAATGCATGGACTATGTCACTTCTGCCTCTGTCTGCAATGTGCTTCCTCTGGTTTTGAAAATTCACAGAAAAAAAAATCAATCAATAAACCAATAAAATGGACACCTCATTTCCTCCTAACCCAGAATCCCACAATTTCTAAAATTATTTTCCTGGATGCAAAGGAAAGTAGACATGTCTCTCTATAAGAGCTTTTGCATAACCAATTCTAGTTTATGCACCTGCTATTCTAGCAGTGCTCCTATTTATCCCATTTTTCTATAGAGAAAAACATGTTCTGTTCAGAACATGGTTCTGGTCTGCCTGGAGGCACATGACATCAACTTCTCCCAGTATGATTGCCATTTTAGCCTCAGTTTGATGTAGTTCTCTGTTTCTTGTGCTCTTCTGTTCTTAGGCAACATGTCTTGTATTGAAATATTTTTGTTGTTGCTTGTTTTGTTTTAGTGTGGTGCATTTGTTACAACTGATGAGCCAATAATGATATGTTACTATTAACTAAATCCATAGTTCACATTAGAATTCACTTTTTGTGTTGTACATTTTATGGGTTTTGACAAATGTATAATGACATGTGTCCACCAATTACAGTATCATACAGAATAATTTCACTGCTCTAAAAATCCCCTATGCTCTACCTGTTCATCCCTCACTCCTTGTCCCTGAGACCTGGCAATCACTGATCTTTTATTGTCTCCATAGTTTTGCCTTTCCTGGAGTTTTATATAGTTGGAATAATACATTATGTAGCCTTTTCAGATTGCCTTTGAAACCATAGTTTTACTTTATAAACCAGTAAAACTAGCTCTCAAATTCACTAGGAATGGTTTACCCATTTGCACTAATTTCGCAAGCTTCCTGGACAAGGCAGCATGGAGAGTACTGATTTTGCTGCTACTACCAATTTCTGGGTCGTTCCAAGAATGTTCTGAAAGGTGAAGTGGTTTGGTATGGAGAGTTGAGTTAGTAATTTTCCCCAGTTCCATGATCATTGGCTCACTCAAAGACTCACATTCTTATTTGATTGATTTTCAAATTAACCCATCCATCCATCCATCCATCCATCCATCCACCAACCCATCTACCCACCCACGTACTGCATTTCATTCTAATCCTATTGTACTGTCCAATCCCACCACCCTAATGTGTTGGGTAGGAATCTCTGAATTTTATGTACTCTTGTAAAATATAGAGTTATTGTGTGAATGTTTTACATTTACTTAAATGGCACTGTGCTAATGGCCTCATTCTGTTTTTATATTCTCTAGCTGTAACTGGTAAACAACCTAGTTTGTTGCTTCTTCCTGCTAAATAGTATCCAGATGAACATCCTCCCCACTGGTTTACTGGTTCCTCAATGATGGGCACCTACACTCTTACCAATCCAAACCCCCGCCAGCCATGTGGTGATGAATAATTCAGAAATTTTAACATTTTTTGAGTTAGAAACCCATGAACAGTCATTCATTGTTC